GCAGACTCCCTCAAGCACATGAAGTGCCACGAGCGTGGCATGGAAGGTGCCCACCCAGAAATTGGAAGGGGCGGCCACAGAGCGAAGGTAAAGCTTCCTCTTCCTCAGCAGCTGTGCGCTAAAGTGGGTAAGACTATTGTGTGGGATATGACATGACGTGACATGATTGATACGTTTATTATACTGAAACACAGGGCTTACATGAGAAGTTGGTACATGGTATCAAAAATTGCTGACAGCTACGTGGTCCATTATTTCCTTATTTTACTTTCTTGGAGCGCTGATGATCCTTCTTGTTAAGTTCTCACTGAAAAAGAAGAAAGTTCTTCCTGCCCTCTAATGACTTTGGCCATGACCTGTACCCCCCGTCGATGCCATCGGGTCCCACGTAAGCTTCTCCCCTGATCTGCTGGGTGACTTATCCACAGAATAACCGGCTCCTCAGTCATCCCTCCGAAGCGGGGCTTGTCAGACCCGGACCTGATAGAGGTCCTTTGCGTGAGTGGCGTCCCACGGGCCCCGTGCCGTTCAGCGCACCCGTAAAGGGCTTGGATGAGGGGCTAGAAAGCGTGACTGCCCCCTCTGCAGAAGATACAAAGACGGAGGCTCAGAGGGCCCGTTGAGGTTCAGGAGGATCCCGACAAGCTGGAACCGGGGGGGCAGGAACCATACGGTGAATGTCAAGAGGGATAGATGCAGAGGCCCACCTCTGGGTAGGAAAAAGCAAGGCGGGCGTACAGGATTGGTGTGCAGGGGAACCACACTGGGCAGCAGCACATGCACAGCGATTAGGAGCTCTCAGGGGATCCAGATCACAAGCTGAACATGGCGGCGCTGCCAAAGAGAAGAACAGCGGCCCTCGGCTGCATCCACAGGCCTGGAGCGCCGCGATCCAGAAACGTCACCGGTCCTCTCTGCTCGGTCTCAGCCAGATGGCACCTGTCCGCTTCTGGGCAAGGTTTGAGGAAGGAGCCGCCCAGCTGAGGAGAGCAACCGAGACAGTGAGGGGCCTGGAGGAGCAACTCATGAGGAGCAGTTGGAGGCCCGGCGGGCTTAGCCTGGAGAGAGAAGCCTGCGGGGAGACTCGGCAGCCATCTTCAGCTATCCGAATGGCTGTCGTGCAGAAGACGGGGGGGAATCATCCAGAGCTGTTCCAGAAGACCCAGGAAGAAACTACAGTTTCTAGTACATTGAGGGGAAAGTCCTAATGGGAAGAGCTATTCAACAACAGAACCAGCTGCCTCAGGAGGTGGCAGATCCTCCTTCGTGGAAGGCGGCTAGAGGCTGGAGGGCCGTCAGCTGGGGATTCCTGCCCAGACTAGATGACCCCAAGACCCTTTCCAGCCCTGCCTTCTGTGATTCTCTGCTCCAGACTCTGCCCCGCTCTGGCAGCCTTGCTTCCTCAATGGGGGCCTGGGCCCCATTTCCAGAAGGCAAAGCAGGAGAGAGGAGCATGCTTACCCAGCCCCAAAAGCACCAGGTCCTCCCCGTCTCTCTCCAGCCCCACGACTTTGTGTATCCCTGCTGCATTTGCTTACTGTGCAGAAGTCTCAAGGGCTAAAAATACATACGGTTATCAACAGTCCAAAATATGTCCGAGCAGCTGCACTGCCTGAGACAGGCCTTCTGGCCACGCAAGAGCCCAACTCCAGTCCGGGTGCAGGAGAAAGAGGATGCCTCCCCGCCTGTGCCAGTCTCATCTCCCCAACAATCTGAAGTCCCCAAGGCCACACGGGTGTGAAGGGGAGGGTTTGGCCCCTGTCTCCCCAGGTGTTGGGGATGGGCTCTGCTCGTTCTTCCAGCAGCCAGACAGATCCAAGGGTCCCTGCGTCAGTGGGACCCAGCGATCAGCTCCAGAGCTCGCTGGGCTTAATCCAGGTGGCCGGATGGCCCACCTGAGCATGTGATCTCTTAGCAACACACGGCCTACTTCTGAGCACTGGTGGTGAACAAATGAACGTATCTGATCAACATATTTGAAGTCCTAGTGATTAAGTCCATGCTATTACTTTGCGCTGTGTCTGTTACCTTCTCTGAGAGAACTGCCTGGCTGTGAGCACAACAGGACCTGTCTGGTGCTGCAGAGGACGCGCAGGGCGCCCCTGCTGCCCCTGAGTCACGACCGGACAGCCCCAGCCCCAGCCCCTGCCCTGGTGGAAACGAAGCAGCCCAGGCTAGGCTTGTTAGAGGCAAGTGTTCAACTGGGCCAGCCCTGCAGGTCCGGAAGAAGCATCCGTCGTGATTTCTCTCTCCAGACTTCAATTTCCATCATCCCCTAGATAGACGGCCTTTTATGTTGGCTGGGGGATGATGGGAATTGGTCCCACACTGAGTTGGGGAAGAAACGGGGAAATGACAGCCGTGGAGAAACCGGCCGGAGGCAGGAGCATCCCCCCCCCGGGGGGCAGGCAGTTTCAGCCCCGCATCCATCGGCCCCTCCCAGGGAGCAGAACCTGCTCCGCTTTCCACGGAAGAGCTGTGGGCTGGGCAGCGCGAGCCCAGGGGCCCCTCCCAAGTGGCGCGCCTCCTCGTGTGGCTGTGCACCCGGGGGTCCTCCCATCGACAGGGGCTGCGCCTTTGAGGGATCCTCGACCTTCCGCTTCCCTC